ACCCCGTCGCCGTTATGAACCCGCAGAGGATTTGCTCGAGCTGATCCCCTCACTGAAGCCGACGCCGCTGAGCCGACGGGCGAACCTCCCACTAAATATAGCCGGGTGGAATCCCCGCAGGGCCAGCGTCTGTGGTCGCACGCGCGCCCTCTGATCGCACATGTCTGAAAGGCAACAAACGAAATCCGAATGACCGTCCGGCTGCTCTCGTGGGCTGGCAGCTGCTCATCCAAATCGGACATCAGTTAAGGTCGAGCGGGGTTTTCATTTGTATTTGAATCTTTGATTCTCGCGGCGCCCCCGGGGTGGCCGGATGAGGGTCACAGCTCAGCAGCCAGAGTCCTCGGCCTGCATGTCGCGCCGTCATCCCTTAGTGACCTTTTCACCCTGACGTGCTGGCCTGAATTTGCATTTCGACAGGCAAAAAGAGATCTGGCGGCTAGTTAACGTGATCATCGGGGGGGTCGGATCACGAATCGACTTTCTGTCGCTCGGATTAATAGCACAGACTTGCTCGCCGGGTCGCTGAAATGGACGTCTTTGGCAAGCAGGCGATCCCTCTTGTTTGGCTGAATGACTCCAAGAAAACCCGCGCGAATGTTTTCGACATACCTGAGGCTGTGAGAACATGTTGGAGGTTTGCTGCCAGTCGGTGCCTTTCCAAGAAGGTTGCGTGTGTTGCAATCTCTTCTGTCCAACGACTTGCGGCATCCATTCACTGTTTCCTCTTCAACAACGGTTTCCAGAGGATTTTTAAAAAAAATAATTTGGCAGCGCAACCCTGAACGGTCGTCAGTCGGAAGTCACATTCTAGCAGTTGTTTGTAAATGTTCTGAAAAGGTCCGTTGGCTTCCAGGACAAGAAATGACAGCCTCCCATAGCGATGAGGGCGGGCAGGCCGAGCGGGCCGCGCCCACACAAAGTGAGGTTCGAGCTCGTCGGCAGTCGGCGCGAACGCTCCTTTCTGGCTCGGTTTGCGTTCCCCGCCGTTGCCCCTGAGTAGTTTGGACTGATTCTCCATTTTGGTTGGCTTCCGGTGACGGCCTCAGAGCGTCACCTCTGGCCTGGCGTTTTCACTGCAGCGTTCGCATCGCTGTTTCATCACTTGAAAAGATTCCGTGTTGACAGGAATCTTTTTAAAGGTGAAAAAGATCGGCTCCCTTTTTTGTGTCGTCGAGCAAGATGGTCGCAACGTCCACCTTGAGGCTGCGCCGATTCGTATGAAAGCGCTTTGCGAAGCAAGTCTCCAAAATGGTTTCCTTGCACTGTCAGCTCCTTTTCATTGGCCCACTTGTTAAATGTCTCTTGTTTGTCAATGCTTCCAAATGGAGTCATTTGAATGATGTCAAGCACATTGATTGATCTTGTGTGTGAAATTTCGAGTCAACGCGATCAGCAAAGAAAGCTAGTTTGACGACACGATAATGCTGCCGCGAATGTAAATCAGCTGTCGATGGAAAGCGTAGTCACGCACACGGCGGGGAATGCCCTGACCGCCTCGGCCGCGATAAACGCATAACTGAGGGATGATTCAAAGGCAAGCTTGAGCTTGCCCTTACCAGTGACTTTTTTTTTTTTTGTTGTTGTTGCCGCTCCTCTCAGAAAAGCCTCAACATAATGATCCACGGCATTCCGCGTCAGCGGGCCGATGGCGCCGCCGATACCGGCCCGGGGGGCGCTCGCAAAGATCAATTCAATGACGGCACTCTAATCCACCGATGAACATGGCTCTCGCGACGGCACGCAAACACAACGGGCGCACTGAACGTCGGTGTTCCTGTGCCCGCAAGAAGAAAAAAAAAGAAAAAGAAAGGTCGGCCGATTACATCACCACTTTGCCTGACGCGCAGCGAGTCTGGCAGAGGTCACGGGGCCGACCCGGCGCTGAGGAAGCAATGCACCATGGGAAGATTGTGAAATGTGGCCCGCACAACTCAATAAACGCAAAGAAACGTTTGTTTTTTTTTCGTTTTCCCTGCATAAGCATTGCATTCGTCCTCATTTTCAGACCATTTCTTTCCTCCTTTTGTGCTGCCATAAAAAGGCCTCAGCGGCAGACACGAGATGAAGCGGCATTTAGTACGCTACTGCCTCTACCTGGTGACTCGACGGTACTGGAACTTTGGAAGTCACATCAAAGCATTCTCGACTCACGGCGTCGAGAAGAAAAGAATCGACGTAGTCTCCAACGAGCTTCACATCCTATCGCTAAAGGAAGTGCCCCAACACCCTCATTTCGGCCGCCTGCATCTGGGATGTCGTTCTTTCGGTCACGACCCGCGGCTTGCGACCGTAGTTGAAGGTAGGAACGAAGATCGAGCGGTAAATAGAGAGAGATCTTGGCCTTTGGGCTCAGCTCCTTGCTCACCACGACAGACCGATGCAAAGTCCCCATCGCGGCACACGCCGCATCGATCCGCCTGTCGATCTCGGACCCCGAGAAACTCGAACTCCTCCACTTGGAGCAGAATCTCCTCCCCGACCCGGAGAGGCCATTGCACACGTTTACGACTGAGGACCACGGACCCACATTTGGAGGCGCTGATTTTTTTTTTTTTTTTGGAAGATCCCGTCTTGAAGAAGCCAACAGCACCACATGATCTGCAAAAAGAGACGCCAAACGGACGCCCTCAAAGCCTCGACCGCACCCGCTCGAACGTCTTCTCCGAGTCCCCCAAGCGCATGTAGACTGGTCGGGCAAAGTCCCACGTAGGGCCGGCGCGCTGAACCGGAGCCTCGCTCGGCCGACGTCTGGCGGGAGTTGGGCGGCGTACGTCCTGGAATGGTCACCGGCCAATCGCTTGGAAATGATTTCCACCCACATACGCACCTTTTGACAATTTCGCCTTCTATGACGCTAAGAGAAAAGGATGCTTGAAATTGTCGCTCTTCAATAAAGTTTTGGGAATGGGAGCTTTCTTGCGCACGCTGACACGCAGCGATGCGCGGGGGCTGCGGGTCCAATGCAAACGAAGCGACTTGATGACGATTTGGACGGTTGAGGAGTCCACTTGAATCACAGGTAGTAGTCCTCCTCCTCGATATCAGCATGCGCGTCCCCGAAGCCCAGGGCTTGGATGTCGTGTGTGATGTCGCTGATGCGGCGGTTGAACTCCTGAGACCCCGACGTCAGAGAGCAACTGTCGTATCTGCCGGGAGTAAAAACAAAAAAAAAAAACCTTGCTATTCAAGCGAGTTGACTAATGGCTTCAAATTGTGGCAACAGCAGCAAGATGGAGAAGACGCGGCCCAAGCTCCCGCCAGACAGCGATGCAGAACTCCAAATTGGGCTTTGGGACCCTTGGGCCCACATAAACACGATGGCCGAGCTTTATTTTGAGGCGCGAACGGCGGAGGGCCGCGCCCCGGCCCCGCCTCTCGTACCCTCTCACGGCGCTGGCCGAGGTGTTGCTCATGCTGCGCTTGATGCGTCCGAAGCTGTCGGTCAAAATTCCACCCTCGCGGATTCCGATGCTTTCCAGGAAGCTCTCAAACACGCCCGCGTCCTTGTCCGGGATGAACGGCCGCATACCTGCGAGGCAAAGGGGCTTTTGTCAAAGGGCCGCTCTTGCGGGCGGCCGAGGTTTTTTTTTTTCGACGAACGGGTCCGTCGGAGAGGCGTCCGGCCGGCGTCGCGGATTTTCAAACTCTGGTTGGGGATTTTGCCCCGTTGTCGGCTTCTCACCCAAAAGCAGAAACTTGCGGTCGTCTCCGTACAGCCGGAGCAGCTCGGAGCAAAAGTGTCCGACGTCCGAGCCCAGCCTGTATTCTCGCAAAAAGGCCGCAAAGTGTTGCAACTCCACGGCGCTCAGCTTGTTCCTCAGCTACTTGGGCACACACGCACGCGGCAACAGAGTCTCATGAGCAGACGAGAGCGGCCCAACGATCTCAGGGCGCCCAGGGGTCATTTACGTACCATTCGATCGAGAACGCTCGAGACGGATGGCGCCGAATTTGGAAAATCAATTCATTTGACCGATACGACGGTTCCGATTCTCGGCAGTTGTTGCCGTCCGAGAGGTGAGCTTCGTTTGGAAGCAATCGAACCTTTTCAACTGTTGGAATTGAATTTGTGGTCAAGATGGACGTCTTCCGTGTTGAAGGATCGCCGTCCTTTCCATGATAATATCGCTAGTTACGTGAAAACAGGCTGCACAGTCAATGCAAGAGTTTGTGAGAAGGAAATGATGGGTTCTCTTCGGCGCGACCTTCGGGCACCCCTGCTTTCTTTCGCCTTGAACTTTGCTGCTGAATTCGATTGATTTTGGAAGAAAGTTGTTCCCCGTCAGTCAAATTTGTCATCGTTTCTGAAATCTTGTTGTTCAAATGCCTTTCGCCTCGGACCGCTGCGAAATTGGCTCGTCTTACCTAGAAATTCTCCAGACGGTAACTTTTGGAAAAGAGGACTTCGAGCGCGGCTGTCTCAGCCCGGGCGACACACGGAAAAAAAACAAAACAAAAACGCTCCATTCGAAAATTATGCGTCTTCCCATCTGAAAAAAAATGTCTTGGGCGTTGGCGATGGAATGATGCGCAAATGAGCGACATATTTCGGCACGGGCCGTGTGCAAACCACCGTCGTCATGTAGTCCTGCATGAGCGCCAGGGGGGCGTCGCTGTCGAAGGCGTCGTCGGCCGAAGCCACGCCGCGACGGGAGCCCTGCGGCGAAAGCGACGAGCTCTCGCTGTACGTCTCGCTGTAGTAGAGCTCGAAGGCATCCTGGGATCCGTCGCTAAAGGAGACGAGAAACCGCGGAAGGGTGCGGATAAGCAAAGCGCAAATCGACGGCTGACGTCGGGCGGCCACCAAACCAGACCGACCGTGAGCTGCAGCGGCTGAACTCCGGCTCGTAACCGTACGACGCGTCCGTCAGGCAGCTGTCACCTGTCGCAGATGCAAAGAGTTACGAGCGGCCCCCGTGGCAACTGTCGCCACCAAAAGCGCCGCCGTGGCGGCCGTTCAACAGGAGCTTAGGGCAGGAATTGGAAGCCAAAACTGAAGCTTGCTCCCGACGGGGGATTTCGACGCTCAGCGTGGCGGCGATTCAAAGCGGCCGAACTTCACGCACGTGAAAACGAAGAGCCAAAAATGGATCGTCTCGGCTTTAGAAGACAAAGTGCTTTTTCATTTATTTTGGGGTGCGGGGGCGACTTGCGGGCGCGAGTCGCATTGAATTCAACATTCGTCTTCAAAGAATGAATTGTTCAATCAAATCCTTCGAAAGTGCCGTCAAATTGGATGGACAAATCAATCTTTGGAACCGTCGCGCATTCTTTTGCAGGCATGTCTCATGATGAAAGCGAATGTGGATATTGATGGAGATCCTCCTCCCCCACCCCTGAGTTTTCCCTCGACCGCGTTGGGTGCGGCCCCATCGGTCTCCACGCGGCATTCTGATGAAAATCGCATTTGTGGACGATGAACGAAGCCGCAAAATCCAGCCGCTCGGATCCGTCTTTTGCCGCTTGCCGTGGACCGAAAGGCGGGTGCTCGGCGCTCAGGGAACGCCCGATCGCGACTCACCTCGGGAACGTCACATGACCAAAGCCGCCAATGACAAAGTTGACCCAAAACCTTTGCAAGTCTCCTCCCTACACAGAAAGTTGGCTCGAGCAAACACTTTATCTGGCAAGGAGAAGTCCAACCTCGTCTTTTATCCCCGCAGCCAGTCCTTTGAGGCCAATGCTTTTTTTTGGCTGGGGGGGGGGCGCGTTGCTCAACCCGCAGTTCAACGCTTCCACTCACTTCTCTGCAGCCAGTAGCGGTCCGGCACGGTGTGGTGAAATCCTGCTCTGTCCACGCACTCGATGGTCTGATGGCCATAAATGATCTGGAACATCTGGCAGATGAGCGAACAGTACTCCTCCGCGGCGTCCTGAACGCACACAAGATTCAAAAGGAAAGGTCACGGCGACTCCCAAATGGCCGATTAAAAAAAACAAAACAAATGAAAGAGACCGCTTCCCCCGTTTGGCCAGAACTGGAGCTTTGGTCAAAGCGGAGGCAATTGCGCAGGTCGCCGTGAGCGTGAGCGAGCACAAACTCTTCGGGCTTCAGGAAACGCCTGCTTGAGCAATCGGAATGTATTTCGGGCTCATCAGAGGTGATGGAAGGTGATGGTTTCATTGTGAAAAGGGCCTTTTATCCAGACAAAAGAGGCCAAAATGCCAAATCAAGAAAGTCAGTGGAAAGAATTCAGGCTGTTCTGCTCCTCTACGACTTCATTGGAGGAGCAACTTTTGAAGTTTGAGTGGCAGTTTTTTTTTGTTTTGTTTTGCAGGTTAGTCCAGGGGACCTGAAGGGAGGCTTTCACGCAACAACAATGAAAAGCAAATACGAAGAAATGAACAGCTGCTTCCTTTGTTACGCAATCGACATTTTGGATTTCTTCAACTCACAATGTGAAGAGCAGCAAAGTGTATTTTCTCGTCCGGACCCGTTTGCGGCCGGGCAACGTCAAACAAATACCAATTGCCGGTCAAGCGTGAATATTCGGAAATCGGATTATTCTGTGTTGCTTTTTTTTTTTTTTTTTTTTTTCTGTGAGTACAAACAAAGGAGACGACTTGCATCGGAAACCATCCAAATGCCACGACTGACATCTGACGCGCGCCTTAGCCAACCGAAGTGGCTTCTGCTTTCTGTTTGGACTGGCCGCTCCAACGCCGCTCCAGCCGGACTTGTGTGAAGGGTCAACTCGAGTCATTGCGGTGTTTCGCGTCACCATATCTTCTCCGTGAGCACGGCTTTGCCGTTTTCTGTCAACGACTCCTCGTCATTCCTTGGCGGAAGTGCAACTTATTTGCCTCCGTGACTTCGGAGCGACTCCGCCACCTGTAAGCGCGCCGCGCCACGTGGACGCGCACGGGCGGGTCCAGTGCAGGGAAGCTTTTCGGGACCACCTCTGCCGGTGAATTACTGGCAAATCGGTGATTCTCAGTTCTGCTATTTATTGTCTTTTGAAAGGTATATGCCCTTTTAATCTGACCAACAAAACGCACTTGCTGCGTATTCGGAACCGTTTGAACGTCTGGATTTGAAGGGGCTGACAATACGAAGGACTTTTGAGCAGCCGGAGTCCGATCGAGAGGCGAGCTCACCGGCGTGAATCGTGCGCAATTGGCGAGCGGTCACCCACCCGGTTGTCGACGGCCAGGATGACGAGGTTGCAGTAGGCGTCGGGGCACGGGGTGGGCTCCAGCGGGTTGTGGTTCCTCCTCTCCCAGCTTCCGTAGCTCTTGCCCCTCTCCCAGCTCCCCGTGCAGGCCTGGCGCCGCTCCCAGCTTCCCGCGCCGCCGCCGCCGCCGCCTGTTCCCGCTCCCGCTCCTCGCCGCTCCCAGCTTCCCGCTCCGCCTCCCCCGCCGTAGCTCTTGCCCCTCTCCCAGCTCCCCGTGCAGGCCTGGCGCCGCTCCCAGCTTCCCGCGCCGCCGCCGCCGCCGCCTGTTCCCGCTTCCGCTCCTCGCCTCTCCCAGCTTCCTCCGCCGGCGGGCGGCAAGCCGCCGGCCGGCCTGGGCCGGCGGCTCTCCCAGCTGCCGCCCGTCTTGCGCGCGGCTTGTCTTCTCTCCCAGCTGCCCCCTGCTCGCTTCCTTTCCAAACTCCCTCCGCCGCCGTTTCCTCCTCCTCCTCCTCCTCCTCCTCCTCGCTCCACTTCCTGGTTCTTGTCGTGGCTGCTCCTGGACAGCGACGGCCTCCAGTCCACTCCGCAGATGGTGTGGCGTCGCTCCATGGTCCCGCCGGAAGGTCGCGGGTCGGCGTCGCAGCTCACCGTTTGACGTCGGCCGTCGATGCCCGTCGGCTTCTTTCGGTCCAGGCTGTTGTCGACGACGGTGTCCACGTTTAGACCTGAAGCACATGCGCGCGTCACACCGCTCATCTTTACCCTTTCGCACAGTACACTCGCGAAAACTAAACGGCGGGACGGCGGGACGGGGCCGCATGAAGGAAACGTCGTGCGCTGCGGAATATGGGCCGTTTGTTCCCGGTTCTCACGGTCTCCCCGTGCGCGTTTCTTTCTCACGCCGGGCAGCCCCGGAGCTCATTTGCGGTGGCTTGAACCGAGCTTCCCGACTGCGCGGGCCCCACTCGACACCTCCCGGAGCACGCGCGTGCCGCGTCGGATCGTCATAGAATGCGAGTGGCCAGATGGCACTGTGCCCGCAAAGCGTTCTGCTTGACACTGTCGTAGGCACATTGCACTTTGTCCACTTTTATTCAAGGCTGGTCTCGAACATTCTTGTCTCCCGGCTGGCGTTATGGCGGACGCGCGGTGCTCCGAAAACCAAAACGTGGCCTTTTGGCGCTTGAAATGCGCAGGGATGATTCGCTGAAGTTGTCGATGGCGAGCCCACCTGTCTTGAGGACCAGCAGGTGCAGCGCGTCGTCTCTCAGGTAGGACGCGGCGGCGACCTCGTGCGTGGGGATCCTCATCAGCAGCTTCTCGTTATCTCTCCACGTCAGCAGCAGGCAGCGAGCGGACAGACTCAAGATGCAGTCCTGCTCCGCGCTGGTCTTGGACGGGAGAACCCTCAGCTGCTGCTCACCAACACAGCTCCGTCAGCGCCCGCCGCGTCGCCGCCGCTCACCAAATTCCCTTTCTTAGCGTCGACCCGAATGACTGTTCAGACTTGTGGAGAGCAAACGTCAGCCGCTTGGAGACGCAAGTCACATTTTTGACTTTTCGGGCGCCCAACCCGAGTGTCGCTTTCAGGTACTTTGTAACGTCGCGGCAGACGATCCAACTGAAAACCATTGCCGATTGGTTATCCGGCACAATGATGATGATCGGGATCGATCATTCGTTTCCACTTTGGCGACCGCACCGACGGATGTACGAATGGACAAACCGCGCCGGATTGTCGCCCCAATTGGAAGTGAAGCCAGAGGTGGCCATCTTACGTTGCCGCTCGCTCACTTTAATAGGGCGACTTCTCCGCAGCGTTTCCTCCTCGTTTCTTTTCTCCGCAACAGAAATGCCGCCGTGTGTGGTGTACGGTTGTACTGCTAAGTCTGAAAGAAGCGCTACGTGCACGTTTCATCGGTACGAATGCAATTATATCTATTTTTTTCCTGATCACGCATCATGATGTCAGAACCACTGACAATAACAAAGAGAGTAAAGCCATGTCCGGACGCAATGTGGACTTCAACTATGTGAGCCACCATAGTGAGCTAATCAACTCGCTGCAAAGACTGAAGTTTGGTTTTGGAGAGGCTCTCGTGACTCCATGGGGGGGACAACACGCAGCAATAAATCTGCGGGTCACCTGGGAGAGAAAGGCCGTCCCAGTTAACTTTGGCCGAGAGGGCAGAGGTCACTTGCTGTTACGCGAGTATTCACCCAACCTCTCGCTACAAAGTTCGATAAGAGATGCAAATCCTTAATATCGAACCTGTCAGGGCAGCTGCATTTAAAACACAAAGTCTGTGTCGCCCATAAAAAAACGACTAATCATAACGGAGGAAGAAACGGTGTCGGGCTGATCAGTTGAAGATTGTTCCCAAAAAGTTTGGATAAGACGGAAACCTGACGGCTCAATGATGACTTTGACTACTAACCCTGGCTGTGTCCAGCAGTTGCAGCAGTTCATCTCGACTGGAAGGGTTCAGAGAAACCGAGACCCAGGTCAGGTGACCAAGAAACTGAGGGGGGGAAAGGGACGTCATCAGAAGAGTGGGCAGCATACCGACAGCAAAATCATAACCGAGTCATTTTGTACAGGACGTGGCCAAGCCAACTTGCGGGAGGCTCCACGATAAAAAACAAGTCGATGAACAAAATCAAAGCCCGGAGCCGTTTCATGCCGAATGAACAGATCAGCTTCAACCAAGCCAACAACATTCAGAGAAGCCCAAACGATAAGAGTGAGTCCCGCGTCACCGCGGTGGTCCACCAACGATTTGCTTCAAAGAATGTACGCAAGTGACGGGAAGAGCCATCGCAGATGGCAATTCTTCTGCCCACTGCCATTGGGCGATCTTTCCCCTCAGGACTTGCAGGTCGGTCAAAACCGCTGCGCGCGCGGTTTTGGACTGTGCGCGCACTCGTACCTTGACCTCCTTCTCCACGTAGTCGAAGATGAGTCTTTCGGGGTGGATGAGGAAGTCGGGAGGGTAGAGCGGGACGGTGTGCAGGGGACGCCGGTAAACGCTGCCTCGCTCCGCCGGCCTGCGACTGGCTTTGGACCACACCAGACGCTTAATGGGAGACACCAAACCCTGGGCGAGCGCAGCACACGCAGAGGAAAAAAAAGATTGGAGGTGGCAAGAACCCTTGCCGTGACTGGGAGAGTTCGGGAATTCAAAACGCATCCTTTTTTTCCAAAGGCCCTCATTTATTTGAGTTGAAAGATTCGTTTTCCAAGTAGCAAAGCGGCAGATGTTTAAAATTTGTGTGACACACAGCTCACAAATACGCTGGCAAATTCACACGCAAACGGGAGTTGGGGCTGCCGCTGTATCTTTGAGCGGAGAGCAAGACGGACAACTTACAGCATCGTTTTTTTTTCACCCCCCCCAAAAGAACTTTACTGGATGACAGACGACAGAATGGAATCGAGACCTTTCACAAGATCCCTTCTCGAGGGTGCGGTAGAAAGACAGGAGGCCAAAGATATCTGCCGCAACCTAGCGACATTTGAAATCGTCACAGACCATTCCTAGTCTACTT